CGAGGTACCTAACCTAGGTAGGTACATATGTACCTACGTCTGTCTTACTTATACCACCTTAAGTACTTCTATGCATGGTACCTATATAGGTATTTATATATATAATTAGGTACTTGTTTCCCTATCCACTTGGATGTACCTCTTACCTACTTACGCTTACAGGGAATAAGTTTAGGTAAGTTTAGGGGTAATTAACATTCCGTGTCGGTAGCTTTCCCCTATGTAAAACCCGGAATATGAGCCGCAATGTTAAACATAGAGTAGATAATATGCAAAGTGATTGGCCGTCCGGAATTTACCAACAAGATGTGAGGCTATTTCCCCGCAAACAACTATGCATACTATGCACCATCTAGTTAAGTGCTGCAGGTCCAGCACATACATATCAACGGCTTAGCTAGATCGGCACACCCGGTCTCTGCAGGCAAGGGGTAAGCATCAAACGTTGCATGGTAAAGAAGGCTAATACCTAATAATAACACCTACCGAGGAGTTATAGAAATTGCATGTTTATTCCTAGAGCGTCTGATTTGTCCTGGATGACTCTCTTCGTTTATCTTTTTTGGCCACGTGAACTCGGTTGCACATGTCCCAACGTAACTAGTTGACTAGTTGCGCTTAAGGAACTAAGTTCACGATATATCATCGGGTTGGGTCGGCTAAGACGGAAACTAAAGGCGGTCAAAGACTCCGTAAAAGGGTGATAGTCTAATGCTATATCCTCTTCTCCTTATTTTCAACTGGAATACTTAAAACAAATTGTCATGATTATTAAACAGCCTTGGGTAATAGCTAAAGGGAGTAAGAAACGAAAGCATCTGATTAGGAGGCACGAGACCAAATCACTAGGTTAGTCGCTTGATATATCCTAACATGACTACAAAGCACTTCCAATCTGTATGATGTAGTAAGACGATGTAATTTCAGCTCTGCGATATCGCAGCTAGATGGAGCTCGGATCAAGCATTTGTAAACGAAGCCTCCAAGTGGGAAACAAGCAGATCATACCGTGGTGTTTCAGGTATTTCATCAGCCGCCATCATTCTCAAATACTACCTACATGTACCTCGAAAATATCATGGAGACGGAAGGATTAGTATACGAGATGGTAAGATGTATAAGGAAGGCAAGTATATGCAGTACTACATAGGTACCTAGGTATGTATGATATACGTACATGTATCAGGTATAGGAAGTACCGCGTACATTGTATAATCAAATCCGGGGAAAGGAGAAGGAACGTCTTAACGCCAATTAGCTAAGAATATTAACGACGGTCCACGCAGCACACGGACGGGGGGCCACGGAACTAAACTTTCGCTAGAGTCGGCTAGCTTTGAATTTTTAACTAGTCGGGTCCCCATAACAGAGTGAGGAAAGCCAGCCTTCGTTCCGGAAGCTCCAGAAAAAAAAGTTGACCTTCCCTTCTACTAGCTTCCCCAAAGTTTTTTTTTTTTTTTAATTTAAAAAATAAATAAAAATTCCACATCGCGATGACGATATTGCCCCGTAACAATAGGCCTAGGTCGTCTGACATTCTCATTACCCAATAAGTATCTAAGCGGAGCTCATGGCCAAGGCGCTTTCGGATTTCTCACCATTTGCCGCCAGTCTCGAAGGCAACAAGCGTTGGTGGGTTTGGCTCAGGTGACAAAGAAGAATCCATCTCTATGCCATTCTTTATTTCTATTACCCAATCTATGGTCAATGGAATCATGGGAGGCTTTGCTCGTACCATTTCTGGCCACTGGCGGACCCTTCGTTCGCGAGCTGTTGCTACTAGGTACATCCCCTAATAAATCAGACGGTGAAGGACAAGCAAGACACCCAGACTCTTATTAGACGGTTCAGGCTGGGTTTTTTTACTATTGATATTGGCAGGCCAGGAAACAAACAGATTGGAAGAACAACTCGTACACGTGCAACCTGGTAGCTTTCTGCTTGGTGTTTCTCATACTCCATACTTACGTATGAAGAACTGATAAACCCTCACCCCTTTAGCTTTTTTCTCCCGGCCTCTAAACACCGACGACGACAACGCCCCGTTTCTTTACGTAGCCCGGCAAACGAAGGGGGTCTAACAGGAACAATTCGCGTGCCGCAGGTTCGTTTAACTAACCTACCTACATATTCACCATACGTATAAGTGATTCCGGCGGCAAACCCATCTCATCAATCCTTCCCCGCATTGCGCCAACGAAACCTGTTACCTAAGAAATAGGCGTTTTGACTAACAGAAAAGCCTATCCGGGTAACCTGGGTCTACTTTGCATCCTCTGGTGTCTTTGGTGAAACCTGGCGCCCTGGCCGGTTCCCTTGGAGGACGGTTAGAAAGCCGTGTCGTGTCCTACCAGAGAAGGAAGAAAAGAAAAGAAGTGACATTGCGCTATTGATACCACATCTTGCATCGCTCGCCTGCACGACTGCAACCCTGGCTCATCTTCCGATTATGGATCGAACAACCAGCTCCTCTCCTGTTGGACGACACCCAAGCCAGAGGCATATCTCCAGCAAACTTAGCCAAAGCCCTACTCCTAGCCTGCGTGACACTATGGATTCTCTCGAAACCACAACTCCGCCGGACAAATCTCTTCGGTCCTCTTTCTCTTCGGTGCGGGAGGCCGATTCAGACTTAGCTCAGAACTTTACCTCCACTAAGATATCGTCTTATTCTAAGTTAGCAGAAGAAGCTGAAGAAGCCGTCGACGACTTGCCCTCGCCCCCGGAAATGGCCACGCAGACCCAGTTCATTCCTCCTATAACTCAACCGAATAGCAGGTTGCACGGCTGTTGGTTCCCAGCTGTCGCCGCCGAGGGCTTCCAAGGCTGGAAGCAGATAGGTGTGAAGGGGAGGCAGGCTAGCAAGAGTTATGGGGATTTGCAGGCTTTGAAAATCGTGTGGTCTCCGGCGCCTCCAATTAAGAAGAAGGACCCCGAAAGGCCCTCTCCAGGACAGTCCATTATCGAGAAGTTGCCCGTGGAGATACTTGGTAAGTTGAGAGGAACGCCGCCATGATAACTGGAATAAGCATCTTACAAGTTTAATTTGAAAAATAGGCCAGATCATTGATCACCTTGTTCTCGATGTCCCACCCAATGGGGTTTCTGCTCGAAACGTGGATCTCATGTCCCTGTTGCTGACGTCGAAAACGCTGCACTCTGCAACGTTGAATGCGCTCTACAAGAACATTACCATCCCGCACTCGAGGATTTTCCGAAAGTTCTTGTCCCACATCGCACAGAACAAAGAGCTGGGGACTATTGTGCGACGGCTGGACTTTAGCCACTTTAACCCCACCACGCTCTTTGCGACGGCAAGCGAGCGAGCTACTACTCGCAACTTGACACCCGAGACTTTGATGCAATGCTTAGAGTTGACTCCTTTCCTTCGTGAATTCTTAGCGCAGGAGTATGTCGAAGATGAGATCGACGCCAACGTCCTGCGGAAGGTATTTTTCGGGCTCGAGAGGTTACAGGGTATCGACTTCTGCGGCTGTTCGTCGACTCACTTCAAGAACGCCTTCCAGTCGATCCTTCTTTCCGATTGGCCGGAAGTGCTTTCGATTTCTCGGCTGTCTCTGCACAAATGCATTACTTTGCCTTCATCCGTGTTTGAGACGTTGCTCCCTCGACTGGGGAACTTGACTCATCTAGACCTCGCGGGGACTCGCGTTACGAACGAGGCGCTTCTGTCAATCCCTCATGATGCCAAGATCACGCACCTAAACTTGTCTAAATGCAAGCTCCTAACGGCAGACGTTGTCATCGACTTCATTGCAAACCACCCCGCAGTTAAAGGATTAGTGGTTTTGAGTCTTGGGGTAGACGCACGGAGCCATCAGCTTCTGGACGAGGATGATCTGAGCAAGCTGATACCAGTTCTTCCCCAGAGCTTACGTTCGTTAAGCTTGAAGGGTAGCAAAATGGCTGCGTCGCACATTGATTTACTCCGTCCGTTAACGAAGCATCTAGAAGAGCTTGCGTTGGGTCGGAGGTTGAAGATCACCGACATCGATCGTCTCTTTGTGCCCGACGAGAGCAATGATGATAACATAGATGAAGAGCTGGAATGGATTCCGCACTCGCTGAAATACTTGGATCTCTCCGACTACACGGCGACGGAGCTCGACCTCATTACTATGTTCGGTCGAAATACGTCAATTATGAAGAAATTCTCAACGCCATTAGAGGTGATCGAGGTTACGGATGATTTATACGCCCGATTAGCAAAGTCACCGGTTGTAAAGCAGCTTGGATGGACAGTTACGGAGAATGGCAGCCGGGCTTGGCTTGTGCGCGTCCACAGCCCCGAGGATGGACCTAGGGACTCCGGACTTCGACCTTGGAAGATGGGAGCCTCATTTTGGGGTATGCGTAAAATACCTATCGCCTGCGCCGAGGTTGGTGGCATGTATGGCTCATACATGTTCAAGCGAAAGCTATAACGGATAATGCGCGTGACGACCTCCCACTCTCGCCTCTACTTTTCTCTTTTCTTAACTACCCGTATTGCTTGGTTTTATACTTATAGGATGAGCGGAGCTTAGACTTGCTGAGTATTTGATTAGATTATTAGCATAGCGACATGGTGCATCGGTTGGATTGACGATTCACGAACGAGCTACGATACGAAAAGTTGGTCGTTATCACATGCTTTCTATAGGATAAGGATAGCGGAAAGGCGATTATTGCATAGTAATCATAGCGTGTAGCGTTTTGTATGCTAGATTCTTTACTACTACTATTATTTTACTACTACTATTATTTTACTACTACTATTATTTTAATATATTATAATTGGATTCTTAATCAGAGTATTGGTCTGTTGAGATGGTTTGAAGTGAAGAGGTAGTAGAGACGAAGATGACCTTTGAGATCTTAATTACATAGGTATGTAACTATGGAGGTTTGCTGACTAATATTGTATGTGGACCCCACCTGCAAAATTACCAAGTAGCTGCCGCTTAATAGTCAAGTTGCTTCTTAAATGCATGTCTCAAGGTTACACCCCGATTAAAACGATACTTAATATATGTATTACTTTTGAAATATTGGAACAGTGAGGCTCAATCGACCCTCATCTAATACACGCAGTACAAAACTCGGAAATAAGGAAAGAGGATCCAATCACGATGTATGCGCTCACGTTAACAGCGGAATTAAACGGGTATGCAATTTGGAAACGAGTTTTTTCACTATTTTCCATTCGGCTGATAAGGAGGACTATACAGGGTTACCGACCTCCGACCCAAGGATACCGCTGAAAGTCCGTTCTGGTATACCTTCACGGTCCAGTGCACCTCGTGTCGGGAGACACATGGAAAACCGGTCGCGGTCAGCAGATTTGTGAGAACAGCAACCTGCGTTACGTGCCGAGGAGCTGCTACTAGTTGCTAATTCTATTCATAGGAGACCAACGAGTTGAGCGGAAGCAGAGGAGAGGCGAACTTCGTATGGAAGTGCAAGAATTGCAAGGTTGGTCCCGCGGAACAACAACTCGACTCGTTGCTTTTATGACGGCTCGGCGGAGGGGGAGGGGCGGCGCTTGTTTCTAACTAACCATGCCATGCACAGCGAGAGTCTTCTTGCTCGATCAAGACGGCGCCTAAGCCCTATGCGCAGGGCGAGCCGCCTAAGCAGCAGTCCATCATCGAGTTCGACTGCCGCGGGTTGGAGTTTACGGATTTCAGTCCCGAGGTAAGCAGAATATATTTTATTTATCTGTCTGACCGGCTTTTTTTTTGTTTCCATTTTTGGTTAATTTTTTTTCTAAAAATCGGCGCAGGGAGAATGGTTGGCAGATGGCATCGAGTCGAATACTAAGTTCGAGGGGGTTGAGCTGCAGGATGGCGAGTGGTATGAGTACGATGAGAAGGCCGGGGATGAAGTTAGTGTTAAGGATTTGAAGTGGGAGATCAAGAGAGCTTGAGAGGGGTTGTTGTTGTTGTTGTTGTTCTAGATATGTAGGTTGAGTCTTAGATACCTACCTATATGAAGTTGAAGTTGAAGTTGAAGTTGCAGTCGACCATTCACAAGGGAGGGAGGTATATGCAATTCCGACTCTTATGTTGTAAGTCGTCGAAAACCCATAGTTACAAGGCATCTTTCTTTATCTTATCATCTTCAAGATGGAGTGCGGGGCACAAATACTGCGTACCCCGATATATAAATACTCACTCTCTTAACTACAACTACCCCCATTAATCAATCAAACTGGAGTTTAAGCATTAAACAAAGCTCAAAAATTCCATGTACGTACCTAGGTACCTCACTACGGATTATTACAAGCCTTGATTCAAAGCTTCCCGCGAGTTTGGACGCGCCCCAAACATCTAATCAATCTATTTATCTACCTACAACCACCCAATCCGCCACGAACCTCCCCAAATCCCTTCCACCATGAGTGTAAGCTCTACCTCTAAGCTGCCCCCTCCCTCCCTACATCCCCCATCTGCCACCGCGTATAATAAATAACCAACTAACACGACACCCATAGTTCGTACCCATCAACCCGCGGCCCATGCTGCAGGACCTGTACGTCTTTCCCAAACCCGCCTTTCCCTGCTGGACTAGACTGGACTAGACTAACACCGCAGGCAGCGTCAACAAGGACATCGTCGTGCGCTTGAAGTGGGGCGAAACCGAGTACCACGGCCGCCTCGTCAGCTCCGACAGCTACATGAACATCCAACTGACCAACGCGCAAGAGTTCATCGACCAGAAGTTCACCAGCGACCTGGGGCAGATCTTGATCCGGTGCGTGCCCTTTCCCTTTCCCTCGCCCTCGCCTCTCTCCTCTCTCCTCCTTTTCAACCCCAGCCTCGGAATTCGGGGAGATAGACTGTGGAAACGACTAACATGTACCCAGATGCAACAACGTGCTGTGGATCAAGGCCGCCGACAAAGGCGACAGCGGCGACGTCAAGATGGGCGGATAGACGAGAACTTGGGGGGGCACACGGTCGGACAAAAGGCGGCAGATATATACCCCGGTTGAAGTGCAGTACGGCCACGGTACCCTTGGGAGAAGCAGGTCAGATAAAGATGGCACCAGGCACATCTCGACAGCAGGAGATGTTGCCTATATACGGGCAGTCTGGCTGGCTGCTTGGCCAGGAGTACAAAACAAAACATAGAGAAAAGGGTTTTACGTCTGGTTATGCTAGTCCTTTTTTTTTCATTCGTCGCGAAGGCGAAGAGCCTACCCGACTCGCTAACCTAGTGATCCTAATCCTCGATAGAGCTTCGTGATAAAAGAAGTATCACAAAATACAACAGCTTTCCCCCGATATGTTTCCTGCCGCTTTTGCTGTCTCGCTTTGTAGAGCAATTATTTTCCTACTGTCTTATCCTGTAACCAGTTGACATCCTACCGCCCTTTCTATGTACCTATAGGAGAATCACAAGAGACAGGCCACTTTACGGCTGCTGCACATATCCGAACCCCCAACCTTGACGCGCTGGGATGGTCCAACCCACATGAAAGCTTCGACTATCCATTCGTACCATACCTTTGCGTCGTCTGTCTGTCGCCACATGCTGACTTCCAACTCAGTGTCCGGCGGGAAATAGAGTGGTTGCTAAGAATTATTAGTTAGCATATCCGTATAAGAGGGTTGTAGATAGATGCACCTTAAGCGGGAAGAAGATCGGAAACCAAGAAATCATGTCCTTGCTCTTCCGATCGATCATATCCGGCAGCGTACTCAGTTCAATCTTTTCCTGAACCACCTCCCCGTGCTCCCGCCCTTCTTCGCCTGCCCTATCGGCGGCTCCACTAGGCGCGTACAGCACCGACTCGAAGTAACCCGCGAGTCCATGTACGACGCCGCGGGTACGGCACACAAAGGTGAGATGGCAATGTCGCGTGTTGTGGTCGTTGGCGCCGACCGCGCCGGCCATGCTACCCCCACCACCTCCTGCCACGCCACCCGCCCGCCGGGCCTCCATCGCGTCCATCGTCGCCTGCGGTAGTGGGTGTGCGAACTCCCACGCCTGCTGGAACCGCGGTCTATCAGGTACTCGCTCCGCGACAAAGTCCAGCGCGAATAGTCGTACCACCCACGGCGTGTCGAAGGCGTCGCTCGATGGGGACGAGCTAGCCCGCTGCAAGATGTCTGCATAGATACGAGGCGTTGAGATGGGGCTTACATGCGCCGTGTACGACGCCGGGATCGAAATGCCGAATTGCGGTGCTAGCACGTGTTGAATCCCGTCCAGACACTCGGGGCTCAGCTCGTTGTCACCGAACGAGCCTAGGAGCTCAGACACCAATATGTCGACTTTGCCGTAGACGGGGCCGGTAGACGAAGACGAATCGGAGAGTAGTGGTCCTTTCCACGCACGCATGTCCGTCTTGACGACGGTGACACGACCATCCCATTCCCGCTGGTTTTGCCGTAGTAGGTATACGTAGGCGTTGGGGTTCTTCTCAACAGCCCAGACGCGTACAGGAACGCCAGTAGATTGGCTAGCTTTCAGAGCACGAGTGACAAGCGGCCCACGACCAGATCCGGCAACCGCTATAACTACCTCACCGCCAGGAGAAGATGTGGGCTTGCCCTCTGCGGCCCAGTCCCTGAGTGCGGCTGCGATTGCCATCTCATATTGGAAATACTTGACCGGGTCGCCCTCAAAGACCTCGTACGTGACGGACTCGAGGTTGTCCGAGAGCGGTTGTAATGGTGACTGCAGCCAATCTTGGAAATTGGCCAGGGTATTTTGCTCCAGTTCGCTAAGGGACTCCTGCTGCCTCTCGAGATGTCGGAGATAGGCGGAGTAGGCGTTCTGCCCTTGGGACTTGATTTTTTCACTAGCATTTGCAGTTTGTTGTGCGGCGGCCTCGGTGAGAGTCGGGAATTCGGCCGACGTTATCTGTTTAGGATGAGGGTCTGCTTGCAATTCTGGGCCGACGTCACAGAGGAGAAAGTAGGGGGCATTTTTTAAGCGCATGTAAGTGAAAATCATGTCCTGGTGGTAGCGGCTTAGGGAAGGATGGCCGGCCTTGTTCGTCTGGAATGTTTGGGGACTGAATGTCAAGTATTGAAGGGGCTCGGAGAACCACCTCGTCTGGAGTTGCTTCTCTGGAAGAACCCGCGGAATTTTGAGCGCTTCGTATTCCTCCAGTCAGCACTATTATACTTATAATGATCCCGTGATAAGGAGTAGATGGATGGTATTATCCAACATAAAAGGTAGCTCAAGGTGTACTTACCAACGAAGAGTCTATTGTCGTAATCGCAAACAGAACGGATAATATGCCAAGAATCCCAGGAACTGAAGAGGTCTATTTCCTGTCCAGCAACAGATGTCTGGTCCGCATTGCTATCTAGCACAGATAGAAGCGGCACTCTCTCTTCCAGACTTGGCTCGCGATACATAGGAATATGAATGATGATGCTGACCCGAGTACCGATGGAAAATGCTTCTTGGATAGCTCGAGCATACTGCGCAATACCTTGACCGTTGCCTATTCTGACCGAGTCTTCCCTGGGTCCGGGGATTATAATGCTCCTCGCCCCGCAGAAGTTAGCATAAGAAACTTCGAGGTTTAGTACCTGCCTCGAAATGCTAGAGATAACATGGTTGGGAGAGCACAAGTCTATCCAAGGACTAGAATAGGCGACAAGCCCGCTCGTATAGGTTCCCGGGAAAAGGGTAGTATCCTCGATGGTCAATGGAGGTACCACAGGATCGAGAATAGAGCCGGCTTTCTCATTGTATCTAGCATCTGATAGACTGGCCTTGACCAACTCCACAACGCGCTGATGGAAATTCTCATTTGTAATCGGGGTTGTGACAAAGCTGAACTGCAAATATAATAAGTCTTGTTGTATATTTACATAGGTAAGTTATATTCTAAATCTTGGTTACTTACACCAGCATTCAAGACTTGGCCATATTGTAAATCGGTCAAGGTCTCCAATCTCGTCGAGTCATGCTGGCCAATGTAAAAAGTTGGGCGGATCTCGTTGTAGTCGTCAGACTCCTGATCCATGTGGTCCATATATTCTTGCGACATGCTGAAATGACTTAATTCGCCTATATCCTTTCGGCGTGCTGAACCGCTGAGAGACCCCTGTCAATACGCAGATACTTGGGGGAAGTACTAATCGCAGTCTGCTGGCAGCACCTCAAGGTAAAGCGGGAGGGGTTTTAATGATGTATGAATATTTGAACAGCGTCAAGAATCCATCACGACATAAAGGAACAGAAGTTCGGAATGATTAGGAAATATAAACCTGTCGGGAAGGCTCGCTTTTACCTAAAGGGAATACCTAAAGGAAAAATGCATCCCAATATACATATTTCTAACCTAGTGTGTGGTATGATTGGTGTATCAAACGGATTCGGTCTACTTAAATTATGTACAAAAGGAAAAGAAAAAAAAAGTGATAATATTTAGGAAGGCCTAATGCATTCATTGGCCCGGTGGCAGTTAGCCCCGATGTACTATTACATATCATGGTATTGCCTACCTAACTTAGGTACATAGCGTTAGGGTCGCTTAAGTTTAACGATATTTCAAAATAACAACATATGTTATATGCATGATACCTTATAAGACAGTATCTTAACCTAGACATGTTAAGTGCGAGTTTATGAAGTTTCCGTAAATAAATAATTGTGTAGAAGTTAAATATCTTATCGATCATGTGATTAAGCCCTCTAGATCCTACCTATACATCGATACATCTACATATCTACATATCTACATATCTATCTATCTATCGCAATATACCCGCTACACGTCTAGGTTACATACCGGCACTTAAGCACTTACATAGACGCGCCCAGAATTCACCCCACCTTCTGAAGTTACGACAGCCCCCCCTAGTACGTTGCTCCTAGTTGAAGGAAGCACATACTGATTTCCTACTGATTTCCTACTGATTTCCTACTGATTTCCTACAAAATGAATAGGCGCATGGTTCGTTTCTCTACATTCTTAAAAAAAAAAAAAAAAAAAACTAGACTCCCAATATACTAACCATCTGTTTTCCTATGTTAGCTTACCAAAGAGGATGAAGCGGCCGGCGATGAGGTCGAGGTGCGCCGCGAGGACCAGGACAAGATCAACAGGTTTAGTCGTCTACACCAACGTGAATTAAACCTGGAGGACGAGCTGAAGGCCAAGAATGTATGGGGAATAAACCACTTGACCGGATGAGTGCGGCGCATGTACTGACGGAGAGCATTTCATCGTATAGAAGGAGAAGGAAGAACTCGACGATATATCCACTGAACTCGAGCTTGCAGACGAAGACGACACGGTGCCGTAAGGATCCCCGGCCTAAATTTCTAAACTCTAGCCTGGGACATTATATATGAGCTTTGGTGAAATTCAGGTTTAGACGTAGCTAACGGTTAACCTAACCATAGTTATAAGATTGGTGATGCTTTCTTCCACCTACCGCTTCCACAGGCACAAGAATTATTAGCCTCGTCGACTACAAGAGTGGAGGAAGAGGTGTCGGCACTTGAAGACAAGATTGGTGGACTAAAGGACGAGATGACGCAGCTGAAAGTTGAGCTTTACGCGCGATTTGGGCGTAGTATCAACCTCGAAACATAGGAGTATCGGCTAGTCGCTGCATGAACGAACTGGCACCAGGATCATATGGTGCCTCAGAGGGTTCACTTAGAGGTCGAATAGTCTTTTTACTCAGGCAAGTCTCGCGATGGCCGCATCGTGCCGACTAAATTCTCGCTGCTGAGTCTCTAGCATGGATAGAGATATGAACTAACTGTCCTCAAGTAAACCTTCACGATGTCTGCTTGCCCAGCTGAATAATAATGGAGGCCTAGACAGCAATTATCTGTTACGAGTCTACGTAGACTATACGATCATAGGTCCCATAAGCTCCCGGCTTCGTTACATGAAGTACAACAAGATCCATAATCTTAATCTATCATCCTATTACCCTAGGTAACCTAACTTAAGATATACAAGTCGTTCTAGCCAATACATAAGGATGAAGTCAATATTTGGTACTTATTAAAATTGGTAAGACTTGGGTAAGCTGTGATTGGGTTGGGCATTTAACTGTACACAGCCACGATGCGAATCCAGTACCAAGGAAAATAATATCGTTGTTACCACAAAGAACTCAACCTATAGTAAGGTAACTACATACAGGAACCCTTCTTTGTTTACAGCATTTGAGAGTACAGCCTGCCCTTCGAACGGAAATGGTTGAATTCTTATACTATCAAGCTAGGTTAAGCATATATTGCATTCGAGCCGGTCAGTCATCCAAGTCCTATTCTAAATCCGACATTTAAAAAATACCTGATTCAGATTGACTCATGCCAAGGCATCAGATGTGGGTGAATACTAAGTAAGGTAGTTAATAGCATGATATACATCCCTGTTACCCTATACACAACGGCGTGTTCTTACACGGCAGTCACGATATGACCTGTTGAAGAACACTAACAAACTGAGTCTGTTGTTTTATTCCTGTTTTAGCACATCTCTATGTTCGCCTAGAAGTACTTATATGCCGTAAAGTCCGGCTTCTCTAGAGTATTGCTTGATCACACGAACTATACATCACACAAAACATACACCAGATATCACTTACACTACTTATCATAAGCATTTTCACTTTATCAATAACGATGTCTTCTACAGAAGCCACAGTTGGAGCGCCCTCGCGAGGTCCTTCCTACCGAGAAAAGCTGAATAACATAGGGGACATCACACCCCTTAACGCACCTTTGATATCGTGGGGTGGACAGCGCGGCAGATCACCCACAGAGTATCTAAAGAATTACAAGACATCCTACACAATCCCTTTCGGCTACGAAGTCGCCACATGGCGACAGAAATTCTTCGGCGGGGGGAATATGATGTTGCCGTTTTCTTTCCGAACAGAGCCCGAAATCAAGCCCTCTAAGCCTAATGAGCCAACCATGGTACTCCTTTTCTATCCGCGCCCCGATGAAGACAACGCAAGACCGATTCATAGATCCGCGTCGTACCTTCGACGGATAGACCGGATAGCCAGAATGGGAGAACAAACCATCATCTATGTACCACCGGAGCTGAAGGCCGCCGTCCAAGGCATGCGCGGTGATCATTATTGGCACGTCATCGATGATTACCCGACGATTTGGGACATGCCAAACAACGCGTATCAGAAGGAGAACTTTGCGACCAAGCAGCCGGCGCTCTTTGAACAGTTCGATGGATACACGGATGCGGACGGGGACCTGAGACCCGAGCCGCGGTACAATCGTGCACATCACAGCGCCGTATGCAATGCGAAGGCATTCGTCATGTATGATGCTATTATGCGCAATCCATTCGGCTCGGATGACTGGATGTATGTAGATGCTGGGTTCCTCTTCGATGATGGCCCCAAGGACGACGAGGGCACGCCCTGGGGCGACCTCTTCCGCGCCGGCCTCGACGCAGACAAGTTCGAGCGTGCCATCAGCATGTCCCGCGACACGGGGGTAGTCATGGGCGAGTACTCGCATCGACACGGGTGTCCCGACGCCGAGGACGAGTGCTTCACCAACCCCACAAGATCGTGGCGCGCACGACAATTCATCGCACAGGTGTACGTCGGTAACTCGCTCGGCATGCTAAACTACAGCGTCCGGTTCATGCAGACGGTCGACGACATGGACGCAAACGGCTTCTACACGGGGCGCGAGGAGCTCGTAGTCCCGTTCGTCGCGCTGCGGTACCCGAACACGGTCTTCTCGGTGCCGTACTTCCGGCTTCCACCGCACCTGGACTACCAGTGGCAGTTCCCGATGAAGTTCGTCTTCTCCAAGGTTGGAGGCCCGAAGTCCGTGCCGCCTATTGTCGATCCCATTTCGACTTTGTACTGCAAGGGGTATACCCCGAGACGCCCGAGCATGCCGGCTGGGGGTATTTATGAAGACCCCAGAAAGGATGATGAGGAAGAGTAAGCTTGACGATGGCGATTTTGTATTTCGACTGGCTAGCGTTGTAAGATAGATAGAATATTTATTAATAAAAATAAGAATAAAAATAAAGGGGTTGTCCCCGATAATGCTTTGTTTGCTAAAGTTGGATATCACAAAGACTTAGATGTAGGGAGCATGGTAAGCTAAACTGGTATCTCTAGATGTCATGTATATCAGCTAGGCAGCGCACACTCTAGTAGTCACGCGTAAAGATTCAAGTCGATAAAGAATTGATTTAACGCAGGTATTTTGTTCTGGGCTACATTATACGACACCGTATTACTAAATCCTCTCCTCCTTTCAGCATCTTGTCTTCTATACAGACTATAGACTATGCTACTTAACGGCCACATTGTCCGCGGATGAACTGGAAGGACGTCTCGTTAGGAGGGAACTGTAGTCCGCAACGCCCATCGGCTCGGCAGAACCCATCAAACTTTCCGTTGGTACACGCATCACCTTCGACTGAGGCCTGGCTATCACTGGCTTCGTCATCGGTATCGCTGTCATCCGCGACACTGTCGTCATTAGTGCTGTCATCAGTGCTGTCATCAGTAGCAGCGTCGTCGTTGGCGTCGTTTCTATTGCGGCCGAAGAAGTCGTCAAAGGCTCCCCCGGTGCTATCAGCTACACCGCATTGTCCAGAAATGAACTGGAAGGATGTTTCGTTAGGGGGGAACTGCAGTCCGCAGCGACCGTCGGCTCGGCAGAACCCATCAAATTTTCCGTTGGTACATGCCTGGCCCTCAACGGATGATGATTGACGTGTTGTTAAGGGCACTGCTAAAGATTAGCTGATGCGATTCTTTTATAAGGTGAAGCGATAGAAGTCAGACTTACCTGCGACAGCGTTGCTGGCAAGGAGACTGGCAAGAAAAACGGAGGCGGCGGTGAGCTGCATTTTGAAGGTTGTGTAGAAGAGTGATTTGGCGAAAAGCGGGAACAGGTGAAGATTAAGGATATGAATAATACGGTGATGTTAAGATGTGACCGGCACAAAGAAGAACTGAAAGGCTGTTGAACTGAATATCGAAATGCAGCTGAGGAATCCAAACTCGAAAACTTTGAGAAGTCATGGCTAGATATAGGCGCGTTATTCACTGAGGCTGATGGCCTGACGGATATCGGCACTCATCAACGATACTGTCCTGGTGAGGACAAAACGCAACCCCTTCCCCTTTCAGCCCCTCAGCGACCGACACTGAGAACAGTTGGGAGCGATGGTGTCGTGGGTTTCATCTCGCCTCATCGCGGCCAAGACTACCTAAATGAATAGGAAGACTAGGATGTCTGCCGAACCTAGGTAAGACAACGCATCACCCCATTAACTTATAAACAGCAGTTCCAGTTGACTACCTTGGAACCGTCGCTGTATTGAAAGATGGTGTTGAATTACTTCTCTTATAACTAGGTTGGGTACTTACATGTGTTCTAAGATCTACCCGTAGCCATCGAGGATCCGATAGGAGCTCATCGGGAAGGAAACGTGAGGATCACCAGCAGATCTGTAAGCGGAAGTTCCGCTGCGGGAACGAGTTGACCTGAGCCAAACAAACCCCTGTTAGCTGAGCCGAACCCCGTATTTGTCCCCCCCATGTCGCCCAGGTGTTTCGGGCAGCTAAACGCGCTGCCAAGCTGTTTGAGCAGGGCAATTTCCAAGGTAACAACGGCATGAATCCTCATCTGTTAATATCGATAGATGTATCATAATAGGCTATACGAAAGACCTCGATCTTGCTGTTAGGTAGGGTGCGACTAATATAGTCATAGCAGAGAATCAAGGCTTCATAAGCATTTAGAAAGCACCCTGATAAAACTCACTGAGAAACAAAACAAGTTTTTATGTCCGACTTACACTTTGGTAATGTCTGAGTTCTAATCCTGTTTCGTTAGAAAAGGTAGTTAATGTAATATGTTACGAGTGTATAACCTGCTATAACCTGTTGGTACATTTTATGTAGGGGTAGGGCTATGCCTTTTGCTAAAATCACGTAATAGTATATTGTAGTGTAATATTAACAACCTTCGTTAAACTTCAAGTAACAATTGAGTTAGTTGATATGAAATATTTGTATGTGACCCGGAATATATTGTCTTTCTCCTTACATAGAATTATGCTTTAATATGTATTTCCTCAACAGTTCCTGAAGCCACCGTAAATCGAGCTTGGACCATTATAAGGCCTTTTGTTTCTCTTTCCACCTCTTGCGGTTTGAGAATATGTGATTCATAATCTTGCGAGCCTCCTCAGCCTACTCGCTACGATCACGAAGCTACTTACCAACCCTGTTGAGTAAGAAGGGCATCAGTGCACAAGCAAGAGCCAAGAAGGCCGGTATCGACGAAACCTATTGTACGCCAAGGTTCTGGTACATAACGGGTGTGAATAATGGACTATAACGTTGTTAGCAATTATGGTCACAACTAACTGGGGCCAGTCCTTACAAAGCAGCGCCGAATAATGCTCGCAGAATAACACTACTTGCCAAAGCAGAGGAAGAAAATACAGTATACGCGTCAATCATATAGTTGATCAAACTAATGAAGAGCAGGACCTGGCCGAATCCAAAGAAGCTCGAACCGACAATACTCACAGCCCGATGAATATTCGGCAATGTATTCCAAGCGAACCAGAAAAGGCTGATCGGGAGTAATACTCCTCCGATCATGGCGGGTGCTAATCGAGCTTCGGGTGTTGATTTAGTAGGATCCTTAGCAATCGCTTTTCGGTGTTGGGTTTCGAGGACGATATAGAAGAGCATGGCAAAAAATTGGCCAGTCATAATACCCAAGTACGAGAGACCAGCAATTCCCTGGGACCATTGTCGTTCCTGTCCAAATATGATGGGAAATGCTGTAAAAGTAAGATAAAGTGTCCCATAAACTAAGGTTAGAACTGTTAGCAAGAAGCATTTAATACACAAAACCTGACTCACTGATCGAAGCATAGATCGAAAGTACTAAGACTATAGGTTCAAAGAAAAGAAGGACCCAAGGCCGAGCAATCGCATCCCGGAAGACACCGCCGGCGAAAAAACGCAGCATCAATAACGTCTGGATGTTGGTGCTGTATAGCTATCGATGCACCGCCAAGCAGAGTAGTCAAAAAGAACATAGCAGTATAGATAATCTGCCGACCATACAGCTCGGCCACAGGCGCCCACGCCATCGGCCCAATAGCGAATCCAACAACGAACAACCAGACGCTAAGGATACCAAGCTCCAACCCAACGTCGAAGTCGCTTTCGATCTGCCGCAAGCTTCCCGAGAAGCCGCTGGAAGAGAGCGGCGCGGATAGCGTGCCGAGGGCCAAGATGACAATCATCCACCACTTCATGCCGGTGGCAATAACATCAACGACACTATTTCGTAGGATAATCCAGCGGAAGAGGACTTTGGGGCTTCTAAGTCTGTGAGACAGGTAGTTACCTCCGACACCACATACGGGATAAGTTCGTCTTTGAAGTTGGTGGAACTGGGATGAGCATCGGGCTAACATCGAGAATCGAAGCCTATACCGGAATAGGGGCTCGATAGAGTAAAACCCCCTCTGGACTTAACATAGCTACAATAGTTATATATTAGGTGGGACCTTGCTTCCATTTTATTTACAGGCCAGAAGGATCTTATTTGCTATACGGCGAGGGCATGGCACTAGTTTGGCCGGAGCCTCGTTTTGTATACATACTATCGTGGCCGGATACCCCCTATTCTGTAAGATGTTCGGACTGTTTCTTTTTGTGTCCAAGTCACATACATAATTGGAAGTTATTGCAACTGTTAAAATGATATTATGTCAGCTGGTTGTTCAGAGTCTATGTTGTCAAGTTAACAATGTCATTCCTGTTTCCTCATTTCCACGTACTGATTAATCCGCCTTAATAACCCCCCGGACCTATCCGTTATAACCTGAACGAAATAAATTAAATTCGGAGCTCAATGATCACGTTGTAGCATAGGTTCGTCGCTTTAAGATTGATAATACCATGCAAGTTAGAGCAACTATCTTAGCTCGTTTATCTCTTTTGAAGTCATATCCTCATTCCTTCATCAATATAATAGCCTGACTACATTAAGCCTTGGTTCTTTCAGTTACATCTGCAGACTCGAAACGGGCTTCACCAAAACGTATGCCGCTGAAAACAAAGCCTGCTACCAGAATACCACAACTCCTATTTAACAGCCCGACGTTCGAGCCAAAGCAGAAACTAAACTCACGCAACGCTATCTAATACATAGGTACCTAACTATAAGTACAAGGCATTTGGATCCAGATGAATATTAACTTATTCGTCATTGCTCACTGGTTTAGCTCCTCCCACCTCACCAGCGTTACCTACCCGGATTTGAATATCGGTATGGACGTAGATGTCGCTCGATGCTGATGGGTTTAGATTTACTGTCTGGTTAATCTGGCCGCCGTCAGGAAATTGTGTCTGATTCTCGATATTTTCGACGTGGTCGGGTGGTTGGCGTTGCATATAATTCAAAGCACAATCATGCCTTTTGTCTTTCGTTGTCGAGTTCCCCGTAATCTCAATGGTGGTTAAGGGGATGCCGTCTTCGTAGGAATTGTCCACTTTAGAGGCGTCAACGGTTGTCGGCATGGTCCAGATATAGTTCAAGCTAGCTACACGCTTGAAGCCGCGGGCGGGCGCTCCGTCTCTCGGAAGAGGCTTGAAGTGCGTTTTTGTCGTAGACGTAACTGTCACCTCTGGCCTTGCCTTTGAACCTCCTGACTAGCTGAGGTACAATTACGGGTAGGCTAGCGCATACTACTGCGGCAGTGAGTATCAAGAATACGGCAACTCCATCTATCTCTGTGAGTGAGCAAATGCATCTAAACTACTGAACTAGACGGCGTGGTGGGCAGGGATAGGATGGGATGGGATGGGATGTTCGCTGTATCCGGGGCCAATCCTTCCAGAAATAGATATGGAATGCTTTTAGAGCTTGTGTACTGTATACAGGACCTGCTTCCCCTATGTAAATACAGCGCATTCCATGTGGATTAATTCTAAAGATAGGTAAATATGAGTATCGTGTGCATTAAATAGTACCTATGTAAATAGTATGTAGTAAATAGAAGTAATTTCAAGTTTCTGTATCTCCTTGCGTCTTAAGTACGATATACCTGGTAGTGACCTAAACTTACATGACTAAACTTACGTGATCAGTTTAGTGCCTGAGTAACACAACCCGGATGACACTGTAGGTAGGTAACGAGCATCGTACATTCCCCCGAATTGTTAACTGCCCGGCAGCGCTAGCGAGATTTGTAGTCTTTCTACAATTATATGGCAGCAGCGATAGTTTAAAATCCGAGGAAGGTGGAGGAAGGTGCGAGACCGTATAGATCAGCACTTATACCACACACAACTTTTTAGGACAACTTGGGAACAAAGAATTATAGATTCTTCTTTTATTTTATTTTAGAACTGCGAAGTTGGCGAGTTAATGTTTTGAAGTTTTTAAGACGTTATCATTAATGAATCGGGGGCATCGGACTCTTAAATATTTCTTTCGTCTTCGCAGTCAGCCTGTTCACCTTCGTCTTCAATTCGTGTTACCCGCTGGTCTTAGGAGGTTCACAAGGTTGCATTACCGCGCCAAGTCTCCCTTACCCATTTGTCCAATACCTTGACAATATCTTGGCAGGTCATGTCCCAAGATAAGACAGCCTCTGCCCTCGAGGCAAACGAGACGGCAGTCTCCCAGCCTGCCGACTCTCAAGGTGGCATCCCCCAAGATGTTAACCTCGCGGATTACACTCGCGAGCAGGAGGCCCGTGTGGTCCGCAAGTTGGACTGGAACTTGATGTCGCTCTTCTTCGTACTATGTGAGTTAATAACCTAATTTGGATATCTTCGGCAATATAATCAACATGCTAATATGAATATTTGATGCCAAGACATGCTGGCCTACCTCGACCGTGGTAACATAGGCAATGCTAGAATCGCCGGCATGGCAAAAGATCTCGATCTTGATGGCAATCGATACCAGTGGCTGCTCAACATCTTCTACATTGCCTACATCGTCTTTGAGTTTGGTGTCCTAATGTGGAAGATCTTTCCTCCTCACCTTGTTGGCGCTATTGTCGTCTTTGGCTGGTAAGCTACTCTAAAGCATTCACACCCATCTCTTATAGTGTTCCATCTGACTAATCATGTAAAAGGGGTTTGATTGCTACGGTCCAAGCTGGTGTCCATAATTGGAGCGGTGAGATGGCTCTAAGATTCTTCCTCGGTGCCTTCGAAGCTTTCTACGGGTATGTCGTAGACTGTATTCGTAAAGTTAACCCTTCTCTGGTACTTGACTATTACTGATAATAAGCCCATCTAGACCAGGCATCATCTACCTCCTTTCGTTCTTCTATCTTCGACACGAGATTAGCTTCCGATGTGGTATCTTCGCCTCTGCAGCTCCGCTGGCCTCAACATTCGCAGGTGCTCTGGCCTATGGCATCACAAGCGGACACTCGCACCTTGCTAACTGGCGTCTACTCTTCCTCGTCGAAGGATTGCCAACTATTCTTATGGCCATATTTGCCTTCTTCTTCATCCCTGATTCTGCGGAGAAAGCCAGATTCTTGACGGCAGAAGAAAAGGATATTGTCAGATCCAGGGCCATGCGCCAAGTCGGCACCAACGCGAATGCCAGAATCGGAGGGTTTAAGATCACGGACCTTTTGCCGGTATTCACGGATTTGAAGGCTTGGTTGTGTGGACTGATGTACTTCTGTGGCAATGTTACTTACTCCAGTCTGCCAGTTTTCCTTCCGACTATCCTCCAAGACATGGGTTACACTGCTATTAATGCGCAAGGTTTATCCGCTCCTCCGTCCTTTGCGGCCTTTTTGTTCGCCTTGATTACGACATGGGTCGCAGACAAAACTCAGCAGAGATGCATCGTCCTCATGGTTACTTCGATTGTGGGAGGAGTCGGTTACATTATCCTTGCTACTGTTGAGACTGTTGGCGTTCGTTACTTCGCGACCTTCCTGGCATCGGCTGGAGTCTTCTCTACCATTCCTAACATCCTCGGGCTGACTTTAAGTAAGTACACCAGTGTCCCTTGTATCTCTAGTCAAGTATCCGGGGGATTATTCAGGTATTAACGAGTTCCATAGATAACCAAGGTAGCGATACCCGACGTGGAATGTCCATCGTTCTCATCAACGTAGTCGGCCAGTGTGGACCTTTTCTAGGAACCAATGTTTTTCCTACGAGTGATGGCCCCGGATTCACTAAAGGTATGAGCATTTGCGCTGCATTTATGTTCTTCTCAGCATTCCTGGCGTTCTCCCAACGTCTACTTTTGATGTGGGAGAACATCAAGCTCGACCAAAAGTACGGCACCATCACCAAGGATAAGACAACCGCGAAATCCAAGGAGGTTGCCGCGGAAAACTACGGCCCCAACTTCAGATACGTGCTTTGAGATGATTCAAGATTATAGGCCTGCCAAGCAGTCTAAAATCGCTGATTTAATACCCCCCTTTCCAGCATAGCCTTTCGATTAGATAGAGACTACTAAAATAGGGCTACTAGTCTTGTTAGGAGAATGAATACGAATGTAATGATTAACATGGACAAGATTTTCCAGTGAAATAAGCCAGTGTTCGACTAGCCAACTTGGTGTTATGATGATTCTAACAGTGTCATGTCTGATTGCCGCGAGCGACCACTAGTAAAATGTTTAATGCTTATAGGATACTTACCTAAGTTAGTGAACATAATAGGGGCGTCATGTCTGATCGGACGTCATCTATCTATAGCTGAACATATGATGCTGCCTAAAGGGCGCTATAGTTACTCGAATAAGAAAAGTAATGAGGATGGTTAGATTATTAGTATTAGACGAAGATTAAGAGTATCTATTGCCTCAACAATTAGTGTAGATAGACCCTACTTGCTCTTGAATACCATTTGCACGCAAACCCCAGTTTAAAGAGTAACAGACTTATATATTTGTACTCTTACGGCGTTACCTCGTCGCCGTCCTGTTTCATGTCCCTCGCTTCCAACGCCTGCACGATTCCTAACTTCATCTAATTGCAAAAGTATCCGATAACTCGAAAGCCACCAGCGCCGATCAATGCAATTCTCGTGTCCTGATACCCAAACTCCCAACATAAGATTTAACGCCGTTCTATCCAAGGTAAAACATCTCCCCTCCTCACATCATCACCTCATAACCACATCGAACCCGCTTATTGCATGATTTGTCGCACTTATACAGCTGTAACTGTACACTAATCTATCAACCCAACAATATAAGGGCTGGGCATTCCCAACGAGTGCCAGTGTGAACTCAAATAGCTTATTGGTTTGTAGATGGTAAGTCACTCGGAGGGTGAGCTCTCGTACGAATATGAAACTTTTCCCGTAGACGGTCTGACAATTTCGCATGTCGATTTTGGTCGTCGGCCGAATTATCACCAGAAGTTGCTCCCTGTGTCTGCCGATACTGTCTAAGGGCCTGGATACGCTCGTCGACAGTAGCATGGCGCAGCCCATTCCAGTCTAGGAGTCGTGACCTCCGTCGCCTTTGTGTTGCGTCTACCTCATTCTCAGTTGGAGGAGCTAAGTGATTGTCAACGGGACCATTGCTCGCGGTATCCAGATGATTTGATGCCAAAACGCTTTCGCCGTCTTCCTCCCCTTCCTCATGTGGGCGGAGGTCGAGTCGACTAGTTGGATGCTTATTAGTTTTCAAACCAACCATTAGAATACGTTAATTTGGATTACTTACCATAAAGGACAGGTACCAGACACGTTGACCAACCACGGGTCGATACACTGGGGATGAAATTTATGGTCGCAAGGAAGTACTCTCACATCTTCTCCAACAGTAAAATCTTCCGTGCAGATAGAACAGTCAAGGTTATCGTCTTCAGTTGGCCCATTATTAGTCCCGTTATCTTCCGGCATGCCAGCGCCTGGAGCTTCAGCGGTAGGATTGGAAACAGCTTTTGCTGCTGCATCTAGAGATGAGGCGCCTTGCTCTGCGTTGTTTGATGCTAACTCGCGCTGCGTTGGAGATGATGAATGTTGCTGCTGGTCTCCCGAAATACTCTCAAGTTCGTTCTCCAGGTCCGGTTTTGCGGGCTGAGGATCTCCAAACTTCACGATAGGGAGTGTTTCTAGAACAGCTCGCGCTAAACCCTTTGCTCGGCTCTGTCTTGGTCTTCCGCCAGAGCTGGCCCTCGGCCCGTATCTTTCGGGATGACGGTGTGCTCGGATCGCTCCGGTGGCAATAATAATGAGAAATAGCAGAGTAATCAAACCAGTGATACTATATAGAATGCTCATTGCAACTGCTGAGTTGTTCCCACCCTGTGATTGACCCATATCAGTATTTCCATCGGCATCGGCCCCCGATATTGTCCCGCGAATTACGGTAGACTCGACAGTCTGGTTTTTTATCTCCATAGCATCCGACTGATCGGTCATAGTCCAGACAGATTTGAATGAAAGATCGGATCCCTCAAGAGAGCAATATGTCCCCTCAGAAGTGCTGAATAGCAATATAGCCTTTGGCTGCTTAGTCATGACCGAATTCAAGACATCATCAGGACTGATGTAGGAGTCGTTGGTAGTCGCATCGCATGATATGTAGGCCATGGCGTCTTTGATACCGTCATCAAGTTGATTATAGTTGCTTTGGTCTACGATGATCATTCGGCCTTGAACGTTGAATGCCTACCAGACATTTTAGCTCTGCTGCGTCAATGGAGTGGGATTGAATAATGCTATACCTCCAGAGTATTCTGGTTTGTTTGGTTCAAACCTGCCTCTGCCGTTAAAGGCGCAACCTTGTAATCAAGTTGAATAGGACCAGACGCGGAGGTAAGAGTAAGGGCCATAGTGTATGGTTCGTAATAATCGGGCAAGGTTTGCATCGGGCTCGTAGTGGCTACCTCGGCGGATACGATGGAAACGATGCAGGCGAAATACAAGAGAAGGTATACCGCGCTGGCGGGACTGGCGACGGTCGACATCGCCATGTTGAGTTTCTTGTTGGCTTTCCCACGATCGGCCAGCCGGTGCGGAATAAGACGGGAAAGAAAGGAATAGACGGAACCAAGCCGGGTAAGAAGCAGGAAGAAATCCAACAAGCGTGTTGGCTCTTGTATGAGAATAGCCCTATTTAGCGCTACACACGCAGAACTGGTGTCGCATCTCAGCACCGTTTATGTCCACTAGAGTCAAGCATAAGACCATACGATTCTTTTTCGAGCTCGGTGATGTGATGCTTCTCTATTTTGTCGATTGGTAATAAGCGCTCGGCCCTACCGGTATCGTGGAAAGATCGGGTATAATCGACAGTTCTGGCGGCAATGCGCTTTGTTTTGAATCGTTTTGTCGGATGGCACACATGGGAAGTCGAGGGATAATGTTCAGGTTGTATGAGTACGTGTTGATGGTTTGATGGTTTGACTTGGAGAATAGCGAGCGGGTGGGATGTGGGGAAAAGGCGGTTTCCGACGTGTGTAGCTTAACGCATTGCACCTAACGGATTCGACGGCATTGGAATGCCAAGATCGGGTTGACGGGCTAGTCGCAACTCCCTATGTTAAGCCGCAACGACACTAGTCCGGCTTTGTCTTGTAACACGCTATTATCTGTAGGTCATACATAGGTCATCCTTTCCCTTGGGTAGGTTGAGTAACAATGTTCTTAACGTTATGTAATTGGTAATTGGTAATTAGTTAATAATACTCAAGTCTATTGTGTTTATTAATCTAGGTCCTTTATCTGTTATCCAAAAGATATGTACCGCTACTATTGCCTTGTAGTCTATCATACGTATACGGACATTTCGAGACAAGCATTGTTTTGATACTCTCTTTGTTTTAAAGCAAGGCCGGCTTGGCACGGTCGACAACAGTATGATTCTCCGGCGCACAGCCATTTAAATACGTAAACGGGCATATCGGATTACTATGATTACTATACTTACGCGCAATCACAACATGATGTGAGCTTTGGTATTTGTTACAGCCTTACAGATTGAGGCTAATAAAAAGCTTGCAATCTAACAACATACCTAAACTATTGTATCATAGATCCCTTGCTCCTGAATTGGCTGTTTTGTATCAAATATCAAGCCTCATCTGGAATATGCATATCTAAATGTGGAAATTCGGCTATCTGTTACGCCCCCGCTATGCTAATTAGGTTACTTGGTATTTCATACGTAATTCGCATTCTGGGGTAAATCTGAGGGGAAATGCGGAATTACTAGTTCGCTTGCATTTAGCATCTCTTTCTAACTAATTACATCTAACCTAGTTATGTAACCTAACCTAGTTATGTAACCTAACCTAGTTATGTAACCTAACCTAGTTAATTCCTATAATACCTTCATCTATAGGCAGTTATTTAATTTATTCCTATACGTACCTAATCCTATAAACTACATAGGTATTATTTCGAACTCAAAATCACGCGCTCAGTTACTCAAATAAGAAAATGCCCATAATTGGCTCGGCACTCGGCTCGGTCTATTGTATAATCCCGAAGCTGCTGGTACACATGTAGTATGTATTGTTGGCTAGCGCTGCAGATACATACCTAAACCTCAAACACGTTAAAACCCTGGTCTATGTCAGATTCAGATCTGATTCACAATAACTTTACCGAAAAGTGCACGGTCCCCATGTTCAAAACCTTAATACTCCAATACCTCAATGCAACTGAGTTTTACAAAGTGGAAAAATTACTCCGTTCAAAGTATTTATCGTTCTTGTTACGAGATAATATATATATCGATTTGATAGAGTTCTTGAGGTTTCCATATAGTATTAACTAACCATTGTACTTAAACTTCGATTTGTAAGCTTGGGTTGGTATGTAACTACGTATTAACTCACTACCTACCTATGGATGCTTTGTTAGTACTTCGCTGATCCTCAAGTAGCAGTATGAATTCAGCTATCAGTATCAAAAACTCAAATCCGGTAGTAACTTTCCTCCAAATCGGAATAATATAAGTAAACCGAGTGCATGGCCCATTGTGAAACTGGTACACGTGTTTGATTGGTTAGACATGAGACTATAGCATGTGGTAAATGTATAGTTGGCTCAGTTCACGGGTACATGAATACTTCCTTTGCAACTCGATGCCTGCATGTAAGATTTCCAAGTTGAATTACTGGGCGGGGCGAATATTATAGGCCATGTTTGGGAATCTTGTAACGAGCATCCTCTTACTACGCCGTTCTTCTCACGAGTCAGCTATTAAAAAATCCCTCTTCATAAACATTGTTCCACTAGAGACTCATATTTCCTCCTGAGTACAGCATCACGTAGGTAGCACCATGGTTTCTCGGTATCTTCGGCACTGCTGTGGTACCAAACACAATATTCCTTCCTAGAATGCATCTGTACGATCTACCCATATCTCTTGTCTACTTGAGAGCTTGCCTTGTCTTGGATACTAAACCTACATATAATGTAACTACTTACTATATAAGTTGATATTCTTATCGTACAATACTATATGATCTATGGTCTGTGGTTTATGGGAGATGTCGGATCAAGTTTTTCGATGCGATGCCGATTTGCGTGCTGCATACCAAACATCTTGCAGCGTTTTACGGTATCTAATATTTGAGGGAATTCATGGAATAGTCATAAACAGGATGTACGGACAGCACTGTTCACTATAACGTCAGCCTGGTCCATACTGCTTTTATTCAACCAATTTACCCCTAGCTTCAAACAACTATTATATTTGATAAAAGAACATTGATATTTAATCTTACTTTATGTACCTACCTAGTTAGTCGTTATTTAGCAAATTTCGGTGGTCCCTCGTTACTATTAGGACTATGCTTTAATTCGGCGTGGAGGTATGTATTCGATCAACGTGATGGCTAAGTATATTAAAAGCATATGGGATAAATGGACGACATGTTGCGCATCTAATTGTTTGTTTAGGGACATCACTTATATAGTTACCTACCTACCTAGGTACACTGCGTACAGATTTCGTTTCAAAACTAGGCCCACCAAGATGTAGTAGGAATGATGAAGGACCAACCTAGGTGTTCCCCAAATGATGTTTTTCTTTTTTACAGGTAGCTACCTACCTAACCTACCTAATTATCCCTTATGAACATACTGGTGGAGATACCTCTATCGATTCCATGGCATTTTTAAAAAAACCCTATTCACGGATTATGTAGGTACCTATGGATGAACAATAAAATACTCTATTATATTTCTTCCATATCCTCCAAATCATTGAGCACAGGCCATTCGCCCACTTCCACTCTTTCTGGTCTCACAAAAACGCCATGTTTAAGCGTAGATTCAGTGCCCCAGTATCTGGTACCTCCAATGCTACCGTCGTTCTTCCCTACCGGTTCGTCGAGTTGGACTCCAACCCAAGCACCTATGGAGCCGGGAATTTCTTTTACCTCGCCGACGTATTTAACTTCTCCTCTACGAGTGTCGTCGCCGCTAACTCTGCACCTTTTGCCTACCTCTATGCCCCTATTCCTAACTTCAAACTCAAAAGCGTCAATCTTAGCCTTCTCTAGACTGGGAGCATCCGGGTTGAAGCGGCCTAGTTTTTCCGCCCTTTTCCATGCCAAGACCGAGTCAGATTTCTTCTCGTATTCCTCTGGGGGCATGATGTATTTCTCGATGCCCGACGTGTCATTGAAGTTCATCTTGGCACTAGCTGGCCGAGTGTCGACGATCTTGACGACAAAGTTAGTCATTTGCAGCTGTGCATAATGGTGGACAGAGCGCATGCAAGCATATTCAGCCGACTAGTGAGATGACACGTATCGGCAAAACAAAGTGCCGCCATGGCAATGACTAGCTCGACAACTGCCCACCCTAAAGCATCTATGGGGGCCAGGTTACTTACATGAAGCTCTGCATAAGCAGAAAGAGGGAAATTCGACAAAAGCACAACATCTTCATCTGCGCCCTCGATTGGAATAGACTCCTTCGAGGGGGTTTTCAAGCTAATGCGCTGAGATAAAGGAGGAATGCCTGTGATGGGTTCAAGTTTCCTTTTCAGTTGAGTGATCGACCACGAAGGGGTGATTCGTCGCTCAGAGGTCGAATTCTCGGAGATGACTTGCAACGGAACATCCGCCATTGCTCGCTTAGATTGTAGTACTACTTAGATGAGATGATTCTGATTCTGAAAGGCGTATCAACGCTGACGATCTCTGGGATTGGATAAGGTCGTGCAGGCCTTCTTCCACGTACACACGGTACAGGAGGTGGCGTGTACAGCTAGAAAGTGAGAGAGTGAGGCTCCAAACCCCGATCTTTGGAGCCGTTTAAGCCTCAAAACCCCACACCGACTCGGTAAGATTTTCTCGGGCCGCACAAATGGGATCGCCGCTAGACTCGGTAATCTGTTGAGAACACGAGATTGTTGGGTAATAGTTGCATGGAAAAAGGCAAATTTCCGTTGTGGGTGTGTCGATGTATTCTCAAGATCCAAGAATGGGGATGTAGTTGGAGCAAGATGGGATCTCGAAAGAGAGGTACCTAATTATGGGTTTGAAACCCTTGTGCGATATGTAGCTCGATAGGTTACACTACACAACAGCTAGGGCAGTAACTTAGCAAGGGTTAACCTGTAAACAAGGGGGGGAGCGGCAGCTAAAAAAGCACGCCACAACTCCACAACCTGCAAGCCACAAAGAAGTTCCATGGGCAGGCACCATACGTCCATTGAGATTGATCCTAGAAGGAGCTATGTACATGTAGTCAGCGTACCTAATGTACGCTGACTACGCTGTTACCGTATGACTTCCCATGCTGCTTCCCATGCTGTCATGACCTATGTATGACCTATGTATGCTTGTCAACTGTCACTTGCATTAGAGATACCTATCTGGGCATCGTACAACATAAGTTTATGCACCCCCCAACATCCTCTTTTCCAAACTCTCCTGACCTCTTTCTGACTTCTCGATTTTTTCTTTTTCCTTCCCGCATCAGAACCTTTTAATTGCGCCCGCATGCACACCTACCTAACCCACTCAGCGTTGACTCCAAATTCAGATCGGTACCGGGTAACAGGTAGCACAGGACACGAGGAAGGGAAAAAAAAATAACATTGTAAAGCGTCCGTTCGGCCACCGACTGATGCCTGCGACTAGCCAGCCAGTATCCGAGATCCAGTTGCTTGTCACGTAGGACAAACAAGGGGTACTAAATCTGAATAAGGACCAACGATTTGGATAGCGCCGTTTGCATCATTGTCTCTGTACCTGAAGATCCAACTCATCGGGTACCACGACAGGCTTCAGAAACATGAAAGCAAGATAAGAGATATATGGACATATGGCCTCATCGAGGTTTCTACGCCCCAGCATGAGATCCTATACCCAGAAAAATGAAGAATATGGAAATGATACGCCATTGCAACATCATTATTACCATGCCCCCCACGTATGATTCACTGCTTACGATGTGTTAATAGTTACTGTAGCCTACCGATGATCTCCAAATAGATCTATTAATCCTCCTAGGACGAGGCGCGGATGTTCAGCTCTACGGGCTGCGGGCTTCGCGGGGAAGACGGGAGCTGGGTTCTCATACACTACAGCACGGAGCAAACAATGCCCATATGCCCATCTGCTGCCCTCGAAATCTGGAACGTGACAGAGTAAAAGGTGACAAGTCATATATCCTTATGCCTACTGCGCCGGATTGACGCCTTAATTTATTATATACCCTTGTTGCATTCCCTTCTCGCTTATATCGCAGCCCTAAATGGATTCAGTATCCGTCTTTTTACCAATATGTCGAGGATTTTTTTTTTCTGAGCGTCGAATGAGCGCAACAAAGCCCAAAGGTGGGTGTATCCAATATGGGCAGCAGGACCTCGTTACGGAGGCAAATATGCGCTATTCCTGCCGGCATCATCCGGCATCTACGGTATTGTTCACCGCTACCCTAAGGGCGGTCAGCCTTCCGCTGTCAGAGCCCGACTTAGCAATAATGGATAACAGTATTGTTGTTGTCCTTCGGTCGACGTGGTATGGTACATGCCCTGGCATGGGTTTAGTAGCAAAACCGCCATTGATGACAATGCCTTACCCAACTATCGGACAGCATAATGGTTTCTATCGAGCCCGCCGCGAAATATGCATTTTCTGGGCGCCTTGTCGCGCTCAGACCGTCACTTCACCTCTAAGAGCCTCCTCAGTCAGGGTATAATGATAGCTGAACATATTAGGTGAAGTCACGGTAGTGCGGCTAGACGGGTATCAACCGGTGGCGTGAACGGGAAGAGACGACCAAACCGAACCATCCATTCATCCATCAATGTAAGGCCAACACAGCCATCCAGAGGCCGGGCAAAAATGGGTTGCAGGTACCGAAACCCAAAATGTCAAGGTTGCTTACGTAGGTTACGATAGCGTCTGATGTTTTCAATGGGGTATCAAGGAACTTGTTAGACATATTGGTAGCTGAGAAGTTGGGGGCTAGAGCCCAACTAGACGGTCCCGGGATTGACTGGCCCATCTGATTCCTGACAATCTGGTTCGATCGAAGCCTAGGCCGAAAAAGGTAGAGAATACGTACATACATATGTCTTGCCTCACTTGACAACGAACGTTACACTCCCCCCAGTCTATCAGGCTTTAGCACGGCCACACTCACGGACGGCTTGCCTCGACTTACGACTGGTTGATGGACGACCAACAGCAGGAACTTTTTCTAAGCGTTACGTGTGTCCTTTCTTCCCGAGGTTATCGTTTACCACTTTGTCCAACGCTCTCACAGCTGCTAGTAGGATGGCTGAGATTGACATATGTACGCCTAGGTGCCTTAAACTCGAACAGGGCTGTGGCGCGCTTCTCGCTAATTGATTGACAAACGGACAAGCATAATAATGCCTAGGCACGCCTAGATATGCTCCGCTTTGCTCGGGCAGCAACATTTCAAACGAGCCGGTAAACGATTTATCTCTCCTCATCGTAATCGACCCCATCCACTACTGCCCCCACGCTTTCGCTTTTCCTACCAATCCAGCGCGCGCACAAAGTCAAGTACCTACAAGTAAGTAAGCAGCAAAATACTTGAAATGAAGGAGTGAAGAGAGGTATGTAACGAGCTGTTAACTCGTCCGCAAGGATGGAATGGTATGCATAGCACGATTTTGTTACCGGTTACAGTAAAGCCACGGTAAGTAAAACACATTGCATATGTGTGTATGTACTCGTAAAAGAAAAGGAAAAAGCGGTACATACAATATAATTGTATCCTGCAGATAGTGGGCATGTATGTTATATGTTATGTAGGTACATGATGTGTGTATGCACATGTAGTTGACATGTAGCTGTCCTCTTTTGGCATCTCATTTTCCCCTGTTCTCTCTGCCCGATTTATTAACAATCCAGTCCCTGAATTCAAGCATAGCGCACGCGATACATCGGTCCAACCGTAGCAAACCCCTCCACTTAAAGAGATGGGAAATATAAGACAGCCCAAGATGGAACTGCCTGACAGGGAGCTATTATCCTATCAGAAGTTGGTAGGGCAAACAAACAACGCGAGCTCTCCTGTTGTGGCGCATGGGTAAGAGCTTTGACAAGCATGAGCATCATGTCTGCATGTATGATAAAATGGGACCCAAACCAACTTTTTTCTAATTGTGATGCGGTGCAAGCAAAGGCAAAGCAGATCATGGTTCCTAGCTCATGGCAGTTGTGCCCCCCATGCACGCCATTAAAACTGAAGTTCGGCACCGCCCTACTTTTCTTGGCACTGACGTGTAAGGTAAAGTTGAAGGGGGAAAGAGAAAATAGTAGGTTAGAAAAAAGAGGAATACGGGCATACATGTAATAAAAGAAGCTGAGGAGTATACGTATAGGTATACGTACTATACGTACTGGGAAGCCAGCACAGCCGTTACGTCCATCTATTCGAGATAATACCCAGGTAGGTTTTGAATAGGTACATACATACCTACATACCTACATAGGTAGTAGCTGGAGCCATCTATGTATGTAAGGTGTCTAATGTCTATCATGCATACTAGTCGGCTGACCGCCAGTTCATCGGCCCCAGATCGCTATTCCCGCAGACCCGGAAACCTTTGCTCACTGATCAGCTCTTTCGACACCTATGACGACTTAGGCGGAGGGGGGACATCTTTGGGTGAAGAGCAGTTAAACTTATTGAATAAGAAGCATAAGCGCCCATATCTCATTACAGGAGACGTATGATGTACTGTGATGATATGTATGAGATGAACCAGGGCTAATGTAGTTAGTATGTAGCATGTAGCATGTAGCATGTAGCATGTAGGTAGCTTGTAGGATTTGCCATGGGAGAAGTTCATGAAAACGTGAAAAAAAAAATGAAAGAAAAAAAAACGCACAGACGTTGCGCTTAAAACTAACTTGTTCTGCAACGTACCTACCCTGCCTTGAAGAGAGAGAGAGGGAGAAGGAGAGAGCCCCATTTCCCGCAAGAGCGAAAAAAAAAACAAGGGTCTTTGTTCTTTGTCATTTTCTTTTTCTGCTAACACTAGAGGTTAGTATTGTTTAAATTGGTGATTAGTGGGCCATTAATATGTACCTGCAAACTCAGTACAAGAGGTCTTGTCTATAGTGTTACATACATGTGCCTACTTACATACATAAGGTAAGGTACATACTTAAGGGTACTATAACATTGTACATGGTATACCCCATCCTACTAACCTCGAACGAATCACTTAGACAATACTCTTACCTTCTTCGTCTACTACATCTTTTTTTTTTCCTACCCACATACCGTTTCCCTCCTTTGTACGGTTAACCAGCTTCAATCTCAACTGACAACACCCACTACTACCTCTCCAAACGTGACACATATCGACACCCATGTATGTTCATCAAGGCAGAGAACTACATACTCAAGTATGTAAGCCACTTATGTATCCTATACTAGTGTGCCCTACTCCTCCGGACGGAAGCCCTATCTTGCTTGTCCTTATCCCGTCTGGCCGGTACTGGTATATCCCACACGTACGCCGTTCTTCCTTAGCTCGTTAGCCCTCGCAAACCCTTACAGGTAGGTCAAGGTTGTATCCGCACATGCACATCAGCGGTAGCTACATACGTACATACGTACATACGTACATCCCATATGCCATACAATGGATGGGATACATACCTACCTAAACTGCCCTTAGGTAGCAGTGGCATAGACTGGTAGGTACGGCAGAGTCTGGTTTCATGATCTCCACTCGACTATGTAGTTTCATGGCCTACATTATGTACATGTATGTAGTTGCCACCGCCACCCGTTCTCTTCATTTGCGGCTTTTGGGACGTGCAGTCGGTTGCATTGGCTCGACAAGGGGAATTCATCGATCTGTCCAAGCCAAGCCCTGTGGATGCCCTGCAACAGATCGTCAAAGGGTCCTCAGGTGCTCAAGCCCCGGGAACGGTAGTTAGACAGCCCCGAACGATTATGGATGGCAAGATAGGATACCTGTCGTGCCTGGATGCGGATATTCTGATACGGCGCAAGGACTTAAAAGCGTATGTTGCAGTATACATACATACATACATACATGCATACATACATACATCCTGGGAACTTATCCATCATATTCGAGCTCCGGCGCCGCAACGCCATGACATTCTTCCTTACCGACGCCGACAACATACATACATTTCTAGGGGTGTGGATGCTTCAATCCTAGATGTCCTGGGTTATGCCCTATGTCCTCTCGAACACCCAGTTCATTTGTATGCTTGTCCAGTTCGTTGCTTAATTTGCGTCATTAATCCGCCGATTCAGCAGCTACCCCTAGTGTACTAACCAAAATTACATGTCAAGTGGTGAATTGTTCTCTGCGAGGTCATGCATGAATGTCGTGGCCATTTCATCAGCCCCGGTCAAATAGCTTGCATGGCCAACGAGCCGTTTGTTTAACTTACAATGAGAAAGTCGGCTCCCCAGGTACGAGCAGATGAATATCCACTGCGCGTTACGTCTCTAGATGTCTTTAGACCTCGAGAGTGTATCACCTGAGAGCTGTCACTTTTTTAACTTAACTCCCCCCCCCCCTTTCTTAGTCCCCTCGGGAGGAGGGCAACATACGGTATGTATTCTGCGCTGGCATAGTCGGTGAAGTGTGAAGTTACCCAACTCTCACACGAACTGCTGGGCTCTCTATTATACCTCACACAACTTGCCTCCTACCTATAAACGTAGAAAACCCGGTGTCTATCGTCTCCACACCTTTCTATTTCACACCCTCTCACACCTCCACACCCCTGGTTATCCATTGAGCTTTGGGCTACTAACCTACCGGGCTATGTACCCTGGCTACCTACTCGCCCACTGCCCACTGACCACTACGCGCTGCCCATCAACCAAAAGCCTTCACTCTTCCAGCTCTTCTAGGCATCTCTCGCCTAGCGTTTCTTTTCCTGTTTTTTCCCGTCCGAGATCAAATTTCACTGCGCATCCCCAACGTGGACCTATGGTACATCCACTACCACTATAGTAATAACTCCATAGGCCAAAGATCGTGAATGACAAGACAAAGTACCTTGTGCTAGCTTATTTGATATATACCTGACTGAAGTACTGTACTTATCCGCCTGGCGGCGCTTTATTATTTCAAAGCCTCTTAGTTTATCGTGTCTTCATTTATTGGCTGGGGAGGAAATACCCAATCATATGCCACATCTCACTAACAAAATCACTATTATCACACTCTACTGATCTAGAGCTCCTGGCTTTCCTGGATATCCCCTCCCATTCACTTCTAATTCGTTTCTAAGTCGTATCTAAGGTCCCCCTTTTGACTCAAATACCATACAGTCATCTACCTGATTACTGATAGTTCCTAAGTTTCACCTGTCCAGAATTAAGGAGTTGACATCGGGTTGCTATAATTCCCCCTTAGACTCCAGTACGTGTATCTGGACGAGCTGAGAATTCACCGTTGCCATCCCACCTAAAATCAAGCAAACAGAGCCGAAACTCTTTTGGACAGTTTTGGCAGATCACCAAGCAACACGAGCTGTGTTGAGAAAAACGACTCATTACAACCCCCTCAGAGCCCGTGAGGACTACAAGCGCGATCCAGCGCTTGTATAAACACCCGCCTAACCAAGGCTTCCTTGACTCCTACCGTCACCGTGGATATCACTTTCCTTCTCAAGGCTCCCGACTCGGATGAGTCTTCCCCATCTCCTCCCGAGTACAACGAGTATAATCGATTATCAGGACGGTCTTCGTCTACCGCAACTACGGCGACCATAACTTCGGTACCTGTCGGTGGGTTGCCCTTATATTACACTTCAGAACCACAAGGGCCAGGACCGATTTCAACAGGGAGCTCGTCTAAAAAGCGCAGCATGTCACCGCACGCTTCAGAGTCCCCTGCCAGGAGACAAAGCAAATGGTCTACTGAAGAAGATGCCTTAATCATTGAACTCCGGGGAAGTGGGCTTAAGTGGGATGACATCTCCAAGAAGCTACCGGGGAGAAGCGCCATCAGCTGCCGGTTACACTATCAAAACTACCTCGAAAAGCGGAGCGAGTGGGATGAAGAGCGTAAAAATAAGCTAGCAAGACTTTATGAAAGGTGAGCATAGTATTTGCGGGTGTTAGTTGAAGTTGAAGATAAAATTAGCTCGGAACAAGTGTTTCTTCTAGCACCTAATCCCGTCAGATGGAAGAATTTCAAGTAGCTGACGAGGCGGAAACAGGTTCAAATCCGAGATGTGGGCTAAAGTTGCAGAGGAGATGTCGATGCCGTGGCGAGCAGCAGAGGCAATGCACTGGCAACTCGGAGAACAGGACATGCGACGTCGTGCAGGAGTGACTGTGCCTTTTGCCCTCGCGACGTCGACATCAGAAGGACCTCGCGGTAGCTCTAGGGCACATTCACGACACAACCATTCACATTCGCAAGGTAATCTTTCTCGCGATGCGGGACCTGGACGAGGCTACGGCCGTGCGGGGACGGCGCCACCTGGTCGACCTCTGGCGTCGAGGAGAGAAAGCGTACCGCCTCACGTTCCTATTTATCCTGAACAACCATCCGACAACTTTGTATATCCGCATCATGGAGTACCCCTAGCCCCAATACAAACGCAAAACCAGCCACCACGACCAGCCATGTTACCCGGAGTCGCTGAGCTTACGACGGGAATCAGTCCTTATAGCACACCGGCATACTCTCTCCCCCCTCCAAACACAAGTCCTGCTCTTAGCTCCGCCTCAAGCCCAAACGGATTGTATATGACGCCTCTAGGCTATCCGCCCCTAGAGTCAACCGGTCCAAAACGTCGTAGGGGCTCAGAGATCAACAGCCTCTCTCCCGACTTAAATAGGCGAAGGCACCACCACCACTTAGACCAACGGCCGGAACCCTACGACATTACAAATATCCCACGGCACGAACGGGGGCACTAGAAAAAGCCCCCGTCACACAAAACAAAAAAACAAAAAAGATAAATCACGAGGTTTTACGTAAATATGTCTGTTTATTGGACTCCATCTTGGGTCTTGAATTATCTAGGTTCCCTTTACCTACCTACCTACCTACCTACCTAGGTTAGGTATTTATGATTGCTACGAATGCCGAAGGAAACCAAAATAGAAGAAGAAAACACACACACACACACACACAAAAGAAACAACCAAAAGAACAGAGATGTATTAAGGGTCAAAGCAGGCATTGTATTAGATTGTATTGGACTGAACTGGACGGGACTGGAAGAAATCGGGCTTGACAACGGAAACGAACTTTCGTGTAGTGTATCGACAACAGCAGGGAAAGCAAGGAATAGGCTTAAACGGACAGACGGATAACTCGCTTTCACACACACACACACACACACACACACGCACACATACAAAAGGTGGAACGGGAGGTAGGCAGGCAGTACCTAGGTACGGGCGGGAGCGAACGGTTGGGACTTGGGCGGCGGGTGGAAAAGAGCCGGATGTTGCTCGCGTTGGTGGGTGGACATTACCATACCATACCTACCAGTTTTTTGCCTTGCTTTCTTTTTTTGTCCCCTATTTTAATTTATTTTTTTTATTTCTACTTCTACTATTACTACCACTAGTCTCAGATTCCGAATGGATTGGATTGGATTGTTCTTATTCTTATTCTTATTCTCATTCTTATTCTCAGCCGTATTTTTCCTCTTCTTCGCAACCACGGGACGGCGAAAAGGGACGAAACATAAAATAAAGTGCTTTAGTTTTTTTTTGTTTTTTATGTATGTATTTATTTATTTATTATTATTTTTACTTTCACCCGTTGTTCTACTAGATACATACCTACCTACCTAACCTATTTACGACGTATCCTCTTTTGTTCTTTTGTTTTCCGGGGCTTTTTCTTCCAGCGCGCGCGTGTGTGTGTGTTATGTGTCGGTTGCTTGTTCCTATTACTCTTACTGTCTTTACTGTCTTGTCTGTCTGTCTGCCTCTATCTAGCCACAGGTAGTCGATCCACGTTGTAGTCATACCACTACTACTTTACCCGATCGCGGTGGTGGCTGCTTTTTGTGAAACACGAAACGCGGAAAAAGCTGGCTGGGAAGATAGACTGGTATGTATGTGACAAGGTAGCAGAAGGTGTCAAACAGCGAGAGGTGTCAAATCAATGTGTATGGGTATATTGAGTAACGGGGCTTTTACGGATTATGATATGTTTGTGTACCTAGCCTTTTGTTTTTGTTTGTATCAGGTTTTACTGTTGTCGTTGTAGTGACGGGCGGGTATTTACTAGGACAGGGAGGGTTGAGAAAATAGGCAGATGAGACTGGCTGGCTAGGTTAGGTCATGTATGTCATGAGTTGTTAGGTAGCGATATGAATCAACGTAGCTGGCGGTTACGCTTTTCTTCTTAGTATGTACAGCATTTTTCTAGTGTTTATTTTTACTTTTATTTTTCTCGAAATAAAGAAAACTAATTCTATGGCTGCCTGCTTGTGTAACTTGACAGCGTGATCATTACTAATAGTAATAATATTGCTATTGCTATTTGCTATCGGATCCTATAGGCGGCGATGAGGATTCTTCTTTGGGACTCGCTATAACCCACCAATTGTCCTTTTCGTAGCCACTCTCTACAATCTCTCCTCCAGCTGTCTGAGCATCTTCTTCCAGCTCCCCTTTTCTGTATAGATGGTAATATCGTTGATACGTAGCATCTGCGACCCCTGCACTCTCGCTCGCAGCGCTGGTATTGGTATTGTTGTTGTTGTTTTCCTTTTTATTACTAGCCTCTTCTCCTCCCGCCTTCTGTTTCTTAGGTTTATTGGATTTCATAACCCACGGCACTAGCTGGTCCTGATCTGCAGTCTCGTCCCACCCGCGGCGGCTGGTTCCCTGTTCCAGCGCCCAGACGTATACCAGGACCTTGCCGCTGCGCGGACGGACGCAGTCGAGTAGAGCCCGCAGGCCCTCGACGCGACGCTCCCGTGTCGACAAGTGATGGACAACCGCGATGCAGATGGCGAAGTCGACGCGTCTCGCGCCTCCAAATGGGAGGGCTAGCCCATCTGCGACGCCTACTACATCGGCACCGTTACTTCCCTTGGCTTTTAGGTCTTGGGCTAGCCGTGCCAAGTTAGCGCTGCGGTCCGAGCCGATTATCACGACGTCCCGGTTCACATCCAGGTACTTGCCGTTGCCGCAGCCGACGTCTAGGCCCACGGAGCCGGGGGGCAGCGACGACAAGAAGGATGCGACGAAGGGCCAGGGCTTGTACCGCGTTGCAGAGAAGTGCGACGCGATAGTCTCGTATACGCTATGCACATGCTGCTGCTCGTAGGACTCGGCGGTATTCGCGTCCATTGCGCTAGCAGCAACGGCAGCGATAGTAGCAGTAGTAGTAGTAGTAGCGGCAGCGGCAGCGTTAGGGCTGGAACTGGGGTAGTTAATTCGAGTGCCAGTTGATGAGGAAACGTGGATTTGTTTGTCTCGTATAGCCGCGCCATGCGAACCGGTGGAGGTGGAGGGCGCAGCTTCATGCATCGACTGTCGCTGATGCCGGACTTCTTGTTGGTGGTAGTGGAACTCTCCCCCACCGGTCAGAGTAACCGCTTCTCTGGGCACGGTGCCATCGGCAGCGGCAGATGTAGAATAAGAGTTACTTCTGGCGCTATGATGCGCGGAATCGCCACTGCCTTCGCCGCGGTCTAGCCGCCGTTCCATCCCACTTTCACTTTCTGCATAGTCTAGACCATGTTTCTGCGTTTGTTCTTGCTGACGCTGGTGCTGCTGCATGGTGGTACGCACGCGAGGCTATGGTTGGCTGGCGTGTAAGTTGCTTGATGCTGGTGCTGGATCTAGGCAGAGTAAGGATACCTAGTACAGGGTAGGTTTGGGGGTTTGGGGGTTTGGGGGGATGGGGGGATGGGGGTTTGGGGGAGGGGGGAGAGGGGGTGTGCGTCTAGATTAAACGCAACGACCTAAGCTAGATGGATGGTGCATGCATATACGTGCGTGCAGTGTAAGGATAGGTAGGGATCAAATCGAGACCGAGATACAAGGGCAGATTAGGTCGGATATACATACCTACCTATGTATGTAGACAAGTACATAGACAAGTACATACATATATACGTTAACTAGTCACATTACCTTATAACTCGATATCGCTCGGTATAGGCAGGACAAGGATGGCTATCTCTGATTAGACCAGGTAACCGGTATAGCGTATGCTCGCGGTAATACAGCAAAGCCTTGCTGTCGTTGGGATAAGGTAAGGAGGTGAAGGTTCCAGTAACCCGGTAAAGTTGCCCACTTGGCGGGTAGGTGAGTGGGGGTGTTTGACAATGGCCCCGAGGCTAGATCGCTTATTATGGATGTATATATGTATATAAGTATATAAGTATATATACTTATATACTTATATACTTATATAACGCTGCTATTATATAGGTACATATGTACCTACCTATAGGTATGTAGGTATGTACATACATATTGATTTTGTTGCTGTGTGACTTATAAGCCCTATAACTTATGGGCCTAAAATATGCAGCTAATGTATAGTTTGTGTTACGTCCAATCCGATATCGATCAAGTACATAATCATATGTAAGAGCAGCAAGGAAGATGAAAAAAGCGAGATTAGAGTGGGGGAGAGAAATCGGATAAGACTAAATACCTACCTAACCTATCAGGTACATGTATGGCTTTTTCACATACTTACATGTATGTATGTACCTACTTACGTAAGATACCCCCGTGCTAGTGTAAACTAACGCTTCGAGATCCAAAATGGTGAATTCGTCTTTAATAGCGTAGTTCGTCTTGTCAGGCTATGCATCAGCGTCTGTTAGTGCCAGTTAGTGTCAAACCTGTCAAGCATCTGAGCACCAAGCGCTCAAGCGCTCAAGCGCTCAAGCGTTCAAGCGTTCGAGCATTCAAGCATTCAAGCGCTAGGATTGTGATGTGCCCCGATGGCCCGGCTCGAACCGGTTTGGTTCCTACTGAGTTTATTGCTGCATGTCTTAGATCTTGCAGCTGAGCTCCAGGGCTCCTATCTTTTTCTTCCCCTCTCTCTCAAAACCCCCGGATCCTGGAACCATGGAGCATGGAGCATGGAGCATGGAGCATGGATGCGGCCCGCACAAGGAGAAATAAAAGTATGGCCATGTGCTAAGATATTTCCGTTGCACCCGCAAGCAGGACCGACAAATCTAAACCGGTAGGATCCCGAGACATGCAGCTAGACAGGTTCATTTCGGCTCTTGTAAACAATGCATTGATTGCGTTATTGCATGGCTCTAACTTGACGAATTCTGTAAGTATTATGCTTGGCTGCATCGGCAGAATTGATAGCAACATTGGAGTCGACTTGTTCTGGTTCTATACTTGTCTTATACCTATGTACAGTGCTAAATCACCGGTGCTACAAACCTCTTATGCCGTGTTGGTACGTGCCGTGTTATCCCGCACTTACTTACGTCCATATAGACCTAACATGCACACAATCTGCAATGCCTTAGGTACCTAACATATGTACCTGCCATCTACAAACTCTTATAAGCAATCATCGCCCTGATCTCTTAGTTGGTATCACCTCACGACGCTCCAGAATCGTAACAGGTGTACCGAAGGCAAATCGAGATCGGGGCGAATAACACAGACCTTGTAGTACTATTCGTTATTGGAACGAGATCGGCCGGGGAAGTATAATCTGAGCCGGCATGCTTGGAATACATACATACATACATACATAACTACCTATCAATATTACAAGTCATCGGGATTAGGTATGGTTCCTTTGACGGCTGCGTTCCGTTTGAATATTTTGGTACAGTCAAGGGGCAAGTGTCCTACCTTGCCTGAAAAGCAGGGGTATGACTTGACAGACTGCATTTCCGATGCAGTAGGAGTTTACTTAGTCCCAAGGCGGACATATGTGTCTTGTCGTAAACCGTTCCGAAGAGCTCCCGTTATATTCTTCAAGTCGAGCGGTGAACGGTACAGGGGGTTGAGAAATCTAAGCACATGTTAACTTATTGGCCAGTTTCAAATTAGTAATTCAGTAATTCAGTGTTTGAGGTTGTACGAATAAGTTCTTAGATTGGGGATTGGGTTGGAAAAGGGGGTATTACAGATACTTGCGGCTACTATATTCAAGTCGTGTTTACAAGGAGCGTTAGGCCGGGGGTACCCGTTATACATACAACTTCAGGTAATATTCTATAAATAATAATTAATATAGTCAATTATACCTCAAAAGTTTGAAATAGTGGCATATTCTTCAAGCTCTCTTGATCTGCCTATTAAACTCTTGGCCCACGGGAAAATGTCGTAGTACCTAGCCAAGGCTTTAGAGCCACGCTATCACAGTAACAAGGGCAAGGCGGTCGGTGAGTTTCCGGATACTACTCTGTTACCAAAGTCGATAAGTCCTTCCGGTGGCGCAATATCATTCGATGTGGCCTCATTGTTGGCGACGACGAAGGAAAGCGATCACAGAAGCTTGGGAATACGTCGAGTTACGGTATAATTGAGATGTTATCATCCTGGCAGCAATCCAATACAACGTCTGCGGACTTATTACGTTCTCACCGGTGCTTGGGCTTTTGGCTGCCGAGCTAATTGCTGTACTTGCAATTGGTCCTTTGCTATCAGTGGTTATGATTGTATCGGATCGAATGCCTATTATAAGCGTTTTAATCGGAGCTATCCGCTTTGCCGATTTGGTCACTCGAACGAGAGGGGTTGGATTCGCGGGAATCTATGTAACATGATTGGAGCGGCAATGCAGCAACAAGATCTAAAGGGTCAAAGCGATCATACATATTAGGTGTAACCATTTAAAATTGGCATTGCTATTGCGATGGTTACAATTTGAATGTTAATATAGAATCCCCAAGAGTATTATCTTTGGTCTTAAAATGTTTTATTGTTTACATACCTCTTAAAAGTCCGAATGTTAATAATACGAGAAACTTTTTGCACCATACGTAATATTTTATATAAAAGTATCATTATAAAACTTGCTCGACTTTGAACCCAAGTTTCTTATTAGTGAACCTAAAGGTTTTTAATAGTTATACCAGTATAGTTCTTATTGTGACAGTTGTAATGGTTAAACTATGGGCATATTCTTAACCTACTACCTAGTGTTTTACCTAACTTACTAGTTAACAACTTAATACTGCTTAGGTATTACCATTGAGCGTTTGAATAACTAAATAGGGCTAGTATAAGTTCTTACACATTTTTTGTTACACGAACGGGTAATATACAAATGCCAACCCCCTTAATGGCGTGAGTAATCGGCATGATAAGATCCTTTTTTGACCCAAAGATGGATTTTAATGAATGCTGAAACTCAGGTACACATCCAAGACGCCCAGGGGTCTAATGACCGACTTGGAGACTATTGAATGTGTACCAAGACTGTGATGTTACATCAAGTCACTGCACTTTTCGTATAGTTTTACTTAGATGGGTATGGCCTCCACTATTGTTGGGTTGTTGCGCGTCCTTTCTAGGGGCTGATTGCTAAGCATATAATAAGCCAACATGTTTCACGTATGAATAACAACTGGGTGACGTAGATGCCTCCATCGTGAATGCATGCAGTTTAAGGAACTTTTAAAAGTAGCAACTACCTAACCTAGCTATGTTCTGCGCTTGGATCGCACATGTCATGCAGAGCACAATATCTGATCCCCAGAAACCCCCAGTATTGTGCGATGGTAACCTGCGGTTTTGTATTGTTTCTTTTTAACGTCAATAGACAGGTATACACATTTGCTGTCTTGGTCCGTTTATCCAGGGTTGTATGTGCATTGTACAATGCCAAGAAGGTAGGTTCTCATGACTGGAAACTAGGTATGCATTGGAATCAGACGTTGTGTATAGCTTATTCGTGGCCTTTAAGAAAAAAGAATTTCCTAGACTCGACATCTTAGGTAGCTTCAGGGATGGAAACAAATGAACAGTATATATCAATATTCTCGCTTAAGTCTATAATGGGCTTACTATTCAGTTGAAGAAAAAATAAGAGTTAAAGTTTCATAATTCAAAAATGGTTTCTATATGTGCGCATTTGTGCACATAAATTTTAGCCTCCGTTAACAGTAGAAAAACCAACGGTAAGTTTAACTACGTAGGTACATAGGTATGTACTTCACTCGGTTTTAAAAACAGTTATAAATATAACAGAAAGAGTAAGTACCTAATTAGGAAAATATACCAAAAATCATAACAATTTACTTAATAACCTTCCTTAGCCTTATAGCCGTTCTAAAGGGCCGTTACGGCTGAGTGAGTGCTATCGTTTAAGACATACATGAAGCCCGTAGTATGGAACAGGTAACATATTTGACTGATCAGTAACACTTCCTAAGGTCTCGCACCGACTACACTATACTAGTAATGTCCATAATTACAATATCTGTTGATCTGATCAACGTTAGCACATTAGTTTTGGTACCAAATCAAAGGAGCACAATGGGTATCTTCTGATCACCATTCTTTACGATATTCATATATACCTACTTGAACGTCCTACCCCTGAAAGGGAGCGATTTAAAAATATTCGATTGATAGCCGAAATGGATGTTTTTGGCTGCTATCTGTCCGGTACTTGTATTTGCCACGGCCATGTACCGATATGTTCCAGGCAACAAATCCGCCCAAACAATCCCTTCATCTCGGCCACGTGAACTTACCTCTCAAACAAGGCGTTTATTTCCGTGGGTATAAGCGGCTTACTTTTGCCGTCTCAGGACAGCACACTGTTCGTCACCAGCTTGTGAAGCTAGTAAGTGAAGAAATGCGTGGAATCCCAACATCGGGGCAGAGGACAAATCAAAAGCAGATACACTTAGCAGGCTTCTTGGCTTGTTGCGGTCTAGCTGCTTAGTTAAGATTTCAGCTCCCTGGCCGCGCGGTCATACGCCTCTTAACCTCGACTTTAGAGCTGTTCATCATTGCTATCGTCCCTATGCTAAGCAATGTCAAAAAGGAGTAGCGCACCTACCAGCATAGTAGGTAGTAGGCTAGACATGTATTTTGACTCTATTCTGCCGAGCAACGTCCGGAAGGGCATCGTGTTCACGACTAGACTACGTAAGGTATTGTTTACTAATATAATAGGAAAGCCCCTACGATCAGTCTCTAAAATCAGAAATGGCAAAGATAATTGGCCGAGCTAACACCGCACGAACCCTTTCTCTTTTTTCTGGCCAATCTTCATGTATCAGTACGGAAAATAG